CAAAGAATTTACACCAGTGCTTGCAGACAGCTAATGAGGGACATTTCCATGCATAAAAGCAGAGCGAACACAGTAATTAACTTTGTTGCTGATTCATTTTTAATCATTTAAATGCTCCAGAGATTTGCAGTGTCCTTTAAGTCAAGAGTTTCTTTTCCAAAGGGCAGGCTGCCATTGCCCTTCACAGACACACCTATGTGTGACTCTCACCTTCCTCAGCAATCACTCAGCACTGAGGGAGGGTCTGCGAAGGCCAGGGTCAGCTCTGGGGGCAGTGGAGCTGGGAAGGGGCAGGGGATGAGGAGTCCCTGCACAGAGCCCAGCTCTCAGCCCTGCTGGGGCTGTTCCCTGCTCACAGACACAGGCTGGAGCCTCCCCCTTCCCCATGCCCAAGGAAACTCCTTCCACAGTCAAACTTCAAACCTGAATATTCCTTTTTAACACCACTGCATGTGCCCCAGCTGCTGCAGCAATTTCCAAGTTAGTGGCCTGTGCCAGAGCCACAGTGGCCACTCGGTGACCTCCCTGTGCCAGGTGAGTGCAAAAGGCAAATGGAGAGTAGAGGCAAGCACAAACCCTCCCAGGGCAGGAATGGGTCCTGGACACTCCCTGTCACTCAGGGGCCCTGTGGGCCAGCTCTGGCCTCATCCCTGGCCCAGCTATCCCCGGGCACACACTGTGGCCAGGACACCATGGACACCAGGGTCACCAGGGCTTGCTGTCCTTTTCCCACCAGCCTCACAGGGCAGCCAAGCCCAGGTGTGCCAGGCCACCAGCTGGATTCGGTGCTTCCAAAGCAAAGGTGAGAACAAACTGCAGCATCTGCAAACGAGGAGAAGGAACAGAGCTGGAATACTCATCCTTCATGCCAAAGCTTATGTCCAGCTCCTCGGAGAGGGAAGCTCTCCTGACCCCAGTGAGGGTCTGGCAGCACTGGACCGTGCTGGGGGCAGGACAGAAGGACTGTCAGGACAGAAGGACTGTCAGGACAGCAGCACTGCTGTCCCCGGGCATGGCAGTGCCCAGGATCGCTGCCCTCCAAGGGCACTGCCCACGCACCAGGCTCTGCCAGGGCTCCACGCCCACTCCCCAGAGCCAGGGCACTCTCTGAACTCAAGGAAATTTCAAAGCATCCTTGAAGCTGCTGCCTTCCTCTCTTCTCACTAATTAACTTTACCCACATGCACTGTCAGTAAAGCCCACAGACGTGTGCCGGGCAAAGCCTAATGGGCTCCCATTTGTGTGTGCGCCAGCCCGGCCATTAGCCGGGAGCAATTAGCGTCAATTAGCGTCTGCAGGGGAGCGGCTCTGCCGGCTCCTTGCTTGCTCGCCCTCCCAGAAGCCCGGGGACACAGAGGGGACACAGCCACACTCCCTGGGCTGCCACCCAGGGCAGCACCGCGCTCCTGCATCCTTCCCTGTGCTGCTGCAGCTCCTGGAGCATCCCAAACCCAGGGCAAGGGGCAGAACTCCAGCAGTGCCCGTGCTCCAGGGACCTGTGCTGGGGAAGCCAAGCTTGGCCCAGGTGCCAGCCCTGGATCAGGGGGTGAGGGCAGGTGGGTCCGTGCAGAACCAGACGGGCTCTGCCCTGTGCCAACACCACCTCAGGGCTCAGCTGGGGAGGGATGGGTGGGAGCCAGGCTCAGCCTGCTGCTGCAGCCACAAGGAAAAACCCCTCTCTGCCAAAATAACTCTGGAGTATCTCACAGGATCACTCAGGAATCCTGAGGAGGAAAACTGCACCCTGAGATGCTGCAATTAGAGGCACTACTCAAAATTAACGGCAATTTAAATCACACTGTCTTCCCTGTGTTCTGGAAAATATTGAAGGTTATTGGCCCACACTACTTGCAGCAGGAAAAAGCTCAATATTGAACATTTAGAGCAGGATTGGTAATGAATCGATATTCCCCAGTAGCTGCTGTTTGGTTTCAGTTGTCTTAAAACAGACCTTGCTAAAAATATCTTTCCTGTAGTGTATCTGTAGCTAATGAGGTGGATTAGAGAGTGATGGGAACTGGAAGCAGCACAGGGGCTCTGGGGCAGTGAGTGGGCAGCTCCAGCTGCTGGTCCCAAACAGGGGAGCCCAGGGCTTGGCTCTGCCCTGCCAGGGGCTGGGGCTGCTCGGGGCCATGGCAGCAGCAGGAGGACCACGAGAGCAGCTGGGAACATTTGTGACATTTGGAGAGGCGAGGACAGGCAGAGCAGGAGGTGTCCCCTCCCGCCACCTCTGCGTCACACAAATGCCAGGGCAGGGGAAATGTGAGAAAAGGGTAACCAACATTTCTGGACCATAGAGGCGCTCAGTTCTCACACTTCTTGCATCTGCACCAAAGACCAACTCGGTGTCTCCACTCGGTGCCCGCTGGGGCACGAGGGGCAGCCACAGCTGACCTGGCACTCAGCACCAGGGGCTCCTCTACTCACACACATCAGGGAATGCCTTTACTGCCCTTCCACGGGGTCTGTGCTGTGGGCAGCCTGCAGACACCACCCTCAGGCACAGCAGCACCACGGCTAAGACAGCTCTTAGAAGCTGTGGCAGCCCCAGCCAGGCCAGCACAGCCCCCTGCTCTGGGCTCCTGGCAGGCAGCCCCTTGCCCCACACAGCCCCACATCTGCTGTCCCCAGCCTCTGCTCTGTCCTTCCTGGCCATGGCCACGGGCACGACCCTGCTCTCCTGCTCCAGGCTCTTGGCACAGTGACAGGAGCTGATCCCGCTGTGGGTTAGACCTGCTCCACATTTAATTGCTCCAGTTGCAAGGAGGAAAATCAATTCCACGTTTTATACTTTAGCAGCCTCTGTGCTTAAGTTTTGGCACATTTGTCAGTTTAAAAATAAAAAGGTAATAAAACCAAGGAAGTGTCATTTAATTGTTTTAGCTGAACTAATCGGGAGGCTCCGCTGCTCCAGTGTGATCTCTCCATCAATCCAGACAGAGCCAGGTCCTGGGGCAGGGCACTGCTCACCTGGCCACGCTCCCACTGCTGCTCCCACCCCTCCACAGCCACCCTGCACCACCACAGGCTGCATCCCTCAGGTCGGGGACAAGTCCCTTCACGTGGAGAATCAGGGTGGGAGGTTGTGTGCTCGGCTGCACGCTGCTGCAGCCCCTCAGTGCCACAGGGTCAGGGGAGAGCACACAGCTCCTGCCTGTGGCAGATCAGCACCACTCCTGGTGTCCACAGGTGCTCCTGCATGTCCCAGGCAGGGTCTGTGTCCCAAACCTCGGAAGGGAGTGGTGTCACAGGTTATGCCCTGCACTGCCCACGCTGACAGCACGCAGGGGAAGCAAACAACTCACATCACATCAGTCAGAGACACAAGGATGCAGGGAAGGATCCCAGCTCTGGATTTAGGGGGTTGCTTCCCAGCTAGGTGCTGAGCCCATGCAGCTCCCCTCTGAGCGAGGGGCTCAGCCAGGACCCGTATTCGGCTCCATCACCCATCCTGCCACTCTGGGTGTCTTTCAGAGAAGACACTGTCCTCACATGCCTGTGCTGCAGGGCTGCTCACAGCTGCTGCCTTTCAGGGGATGCAGGATGGGTGACAGTGCCTGATGTTGTGGGGAGGGTGTGGGAATGACACAGACCTGGCAAGAGGCAAGAGCAGGTGAAGGATATTGCTGTAGCTACTCTTTGAGGCTCTGAGGAGGAACGGGACAATGCAGAACAGCCTCAGGAGAGGGAAATAGCTTCAGTGAGCTGTGCCTGTCTTGGCTCTCCTGTCACCTGCCACCAGTGCTGGCACTAAAGGATCTGCTCATTCCTGGCTGCAGGGTCGGCTGTGACCCAGCAGGACACAGGGCAGCAGTTCTGCAGATCGTTCTCTCCATGCAGTGCCCGAGTGCCTCTCAAGGCTCCATCCCAGCTGCCAGGACCCGAGCAGAGCTGGGAGTGAGCAGTGTCACAGTGCCACTGAGCACTGACCTGCTTTGGGACTGGGGACATCTCTGCCAGGACACCGCTGCTGGGATGGAGGGAAGGGAGCGTGGTGCGGCCCCACAGGAGCCTCCTGCACCCAGCACGGGGCTCTGGCACACGGGCAGTGACTGAGTCCTTTCCCCTGGGTGAGCCCCCGGGTCAAGCCAAGGCCCCCTCTGCTTCCCGAGGCTGATGCTCAGCAGAAGCCCCAGGACCTTGCCCAAACACACCCAGCACTCCACAACAGCACAGCAAACACTCACCATACACTGACCGGGAACCACAGGGAGCAGGGGGTGAACTGCTGGCAGCACCCCTGGGCCCATGGGCGCTGTGACCGCCTACAGCAGCACTTCTGCCCCTCCCAGAGCGCCCACGGCACCTCACAAAAGCCCTTACAGAAATTAAAATTCTATCTCCTGCTGGAGACACACTCGCTGACCTCTGCAAATTATGAGAGATTCCATATAGATCCACAGTTGCTCGAGCTCAGAGAGATGGGATGGCAGAGGACAAGGACTGTTCATCTCAGGAGCCCGCGGTCAAACGGGGCAGCAGGAGCAGCGGCTGCAGCGAGCAGGGGCGCGGGAGCACAGCCGTGCGTGCTGTGCACGGGCACTCGCGTTTTGGAGAACCGATCACCCGGCAAATGTTTCCTCAGACGGGATGGAATGGATGCCCTGGCATCGTCCCGGCTCCTGGCTGCCTACGGGCAGGGCCGGGGCTGGGGGGCTACAGCCGAGAGCCCCGGCGAACGGGCAGGACCGAGCCGCGATCCGCTCGGCTCCAGCAAGAGGAGATGAAGGAAAACTCCCTGAGTGCGGCCGGGCGACAGCGACCAGCGCCCGCCGGGACCGCTCCGGCCGCTCCCGCCCCGCCGGCTCCATGGATGGCCCGAGGAACGCGGACCCGAGCGCGCACCGAGAGCGAGAGCGCCGGGAGAGGAGAGGGGACGGGCGGGCAGGGGAGCGGCGAGAGCCCGCGGTGTGCGGGGACGGGGATGCTCCGGGACGGGGGTCGGGGACAAGGGGTGCCCGGGGCGGGCGGGGGCCGGTGCCGCAGCCCCCCGCCCTCACCTGTACCACTCCAGCCCGCGGTGGTAGTTCCTGTCGAAGAAGTGGGGCTCGGTGCCCAGGGCGCGCACCTCGGGGTGCACCCGGATGAACTCCAGCACGGCGCGGGTCCCGCCCTTCTTGACGCCCACCACGATGGCCCGCGGCAGGCGCTTGGTACCGGGGCGGGCCGGGCCCGGGGCGCTGCCGGCCGGCGGGGCTGGGGCTGCTCTCCCGCACGGCCGCGACTGCTGCAGAAGTTTCTTGGCGGCGGCGGCGGCGCGGGCGGGCGGGCAGCGGGCGCGGGGCGCGGCGGGGCTGCCGCAGCAGCACAGGAGGCTGTAGCACAGGTACGAGCAGGACAGCGACAGCGTGAAGAGGACGAGGACCCTCCCTGCCAGCCGCCGGGACGGAGCCGGAGCCACGGCCGGGGCCCGCCCGCTCGGCGCCCTACGCGCCATGGCTCCATGGGGCCGCGCCGCCGGGCACGGCGGGCCCCGGCCCGGAGCCCCGGCCCCGGCGCGGCCGCTCCCGCATCTCCCGCGGCTACGCCGGGGCGCGGCCGGGCCGCCCGAGGGGGCTGCGCCCGCCCCGGCCCCCCTGCCCTGCCGCGGCCATCCCCGCCACCGGCGGCGGCGGCTCCGCGCTGCCTCCGCGGCAAGTGCCGGGGCAGCGGCGGCTGCGGCGCTATTTAAGGGGCCGCCTGACGTCAGCGCCTCCCGGAGCCCCCGCGGCCGCTCGGTGGCCGTGCCTCCCCCGGGCCGGCCCGGGGCTACCGCGGCTCACGGCACAGCACAGCCCTTCCTGCCCGCACCGGGCTGCCACGGCGCCGGGCCGGTCCCGCTGCCCGCCCAGCCCTGCCCTGCCCGTCCCGTCCCGTCCCCGGTCACGCTGTCCTGCCCGGCCCTGCCCCGCTGTGCCCGCACATCCAGCCCTGAGCCGCTCGGAGCAGCGGTGTGGAGCCGGGGCTGGTGTGGAGCCTGCAGAACCGGGACGGTGTGAGCAGCCCTCGGCCGGGAGCGGCACCGGGGCTCGGGGCTGCTGCGAGGGTCCCGGCCGGTCCCCGGGATGTCCCAGCCCGGAGCCAGAGCCGCGCTGCCCGAGCCATCATTCCCCGAGGGGAGCGCGGCGGGGCCGCCCCACGGCAGCAGTCGCTTCTGTCCTCGGCAAGGACAGGAGGAGCAGCCATCGGCCGCCGCCGTGCCGCCGGTAAGTAGGAGGGAAAAGCTTTAAAGTGACGCATGAATTAAATTTCCCTGCCGGGCTGGGGCTGCTCAGCCCCGCCTGTCCCGGGTCTGATGCCCCACATGCAGGCTGACCTGGAAAGCCCGGCGGCTGTGGCAGAATCTGAATGCGGACTGCTCCATCCCCATCCCCATCCCCATCCCCGGCTCCCCTTTTCCTTCCTCTTGCACCCCGACATCCCAGGCTCGGCTGCTCCCGCTGAGCCGAAGGGCTGCGTGCGGCGCCGCTCAGACATTAGCAGCCATCGCTCCCGCTTTCTCAGCACTAGAAGCTTGATCGGCTGCAGAAAACTACTTGTCTTGTTCCCTGGGAAGCATGATGACAGGGAGAGACAGGCAAGAAGCGCCGGCCCGACACAAACGAGGATGCCGCAGGCTCCCGGCAGCCGGTCCGGGGCGGGGACCAGGTTCCCTCCTGTGCAGCACCCAGAACTGGGTGCAGATATAAGAAACAATGGAGAAAAAACGCAAAGCAGAGCTGCCTGCAGCCTCTCACCTGGGCTGGTGCGGGAGCAGTGGCACTGCTCCTGCCTGGGAGCAGGAATGGAGTTTCCAGGAAGAAGTATCAGGAGAGCTCTGGATCTAGAGCATGGGCTGAATCCTCGTGGAGACAAGCCTCATCATCCTCAGTGACCCACGGGTTTTTCCTTTTTTAGTGACTTTGGGTTCTCTGTGGCAGCAGGTTGTGCTGGGCAGGGCTGAGCCCCAGCCCCTCTGTGTGGGTCGATGCAGGGGGATGGAGGCCAGCAGCAGCCCAGAGGACAGCACTGGGTGATCCCTGACTGCTGTGAACCCAGGGCTGCTTCTCCCATCACTCACATGCTGCACCAGAGCCAGGGCAGGGCCCTGGCACTGACAGAGCCCACAGGACTTCAGCCTCCTGTCCGAGGGCCACTGCCCTGCCCGGGCAACAACAGCAGGGGTGGAGGTACCTGAGGGGCCAGACATTGGCAGGTTCTGCTTTCTACGGCGGAAAGCATCCATCACTTAGTTCCTGTCCATGACAAACTGCCAAATCTGTGGAAAAGTTGCTTTTTCCATTTTAGATCACCACCTCCATGTGGTGATCCAGCCTCGGCAGCAGACACATTGCCTAAGCATGAACATTAGAGGCGTCTGGATAAATAAAGCTGCTGCGGATGCCTCAACACCTCCAGGTTTCTCTACTTGCAAGGGAGGAATGTTTTGTAAAGCCGACAATTTTGCTTCCAGTCTTTGTATCCGTGCAGGGCATGTCTTTTCCATGACATGTTTGCTGTTTACACCCCACTCCACATAAACAACAGCTTTCTGGTGCCATCAGCACGCTCCCAGCCCTGCTGCCTGTGCTAACAGAGCCCCGGGAGCCAGCCCCAGTGGGATCCCCAGAGCAGGGTGCCAGGCACTGGCGTTGCAGGAGGAAAGAGCCCACTGGATCACTGCAGAAGGTTCCCTCTCCTCAGCCAGAGCCTTGCAGCATGGGGGCTGGAGGAAGATCTGTGAGCTTTGGAAAACATCCTGCCTCCTTCTGCCCCCCTCATCTGTTCCTTTATGGGAACCTTTATGGTGCTGCATCCTGCTCCCAGCCTTACCCCATCCTCTCCTTCACCTTCTCTTCCCCACCTCCCTTAGCCACTCCTCAGGGTCCCACCAGTGCTTCCTCTGTTCCCCATCTCTCTTGGGTCCCTGGCTCTGTTCCCAAGCAGATCTTTCCCATCTTGCCTCCTTCATCACTGCCAAGCTCTCCAATCTCCCGCTGTACTGGGATTTACCAAAGCAGCACTGGTCTGACATTAACCCTGAAGGACCCCCAGCATGCTGCCCCTCCCAGGCCACTTCCAGCTCCTCCATGCTGGTTTGCCCAGGGGGTGAACTCTGGGCAAATCAAAAGGCAGAAAATCAAAAGTTTCTCCAGTATGGCCCCTGCAGCCTCTCCTGCTCCTCCCTGCTCCGAGCAGCACTTGGCTCATGGGACCGTGGGGCTGTGCAGTGCTCAGGACACAAACACCAAGGAGGGATTTGGAGCCTGTCTTCAGGCCCAGAGCAGCCCTTCTGCCTTGTTTCCCCTTCGAGAGACTGATCTCACCATAGCATGAGCTGACAGCAGCAGGAACCACTGCTGGGGGCTCGTGGCTCTGTGCTTTCCAGGGAAGACCTGGCCCAGGGCTCAGCCCAAGCACAGACAGTTGCCAGGCAGGCAGAGAGAAAAGCTGCCCAAGTGTAGGGATCAGGAGATTATTACAGAAATAAACAAAGTCTGTGCCAGGAGCACATGAAGCCTAAAAGAATAGGGAAGCAATAAAGTGCACACTAGAAATAGTAAATAAGATTAAAAGTGGTATCCTGCCCATTATATCTCCATGTTGATGGCAGAACAAAGCAAGTTTAGCATTTATTTCCAGAGCCAAAGAAAGCACTCAGCACCAAAGGGTCAGCACCAAAGTGACTGTTAGTCCAGTTTTCTGTGTCTGATATTTATGTCAAAAATAACCTTTTGGTTCTGGGCTGACAAACTGCCACCTACCCTTGTGTGAGAATCAGAGGCTGAGCAGTACATGGACAGGGAGAGCCTCAGTGCTGAGGGGCAGCCAGAGCTGAGCTGCTCCAGATTCATGGCCCTGCTGAGGTCCTGGAACAGCCACCAGAACAGAACACTGTTGCTCAAGTGCCTCCCTGTTCTCCTTGTCCTGGCAGGGAGCCTGGAGCTGCTAAAAGGACATTTTGGCATTTTGGAGCTGGGCAGTGGAGCAGGGGGATGCTGCTGAGCCAGATCCAGGGGCAGCAGTGAGGGGCCAGGAGGACACAAGGATGGGGGTCAGAGAGCTGCTCCACAGCCCCAGGATACTGGGGACACTCTGGGGGACACAGGCCAGCAGGACTCGGCTGTTCCCAATCGCTGTGAGCACGCTGGGACTGCATCTTCATCCCAAAGGATCCAGGATTGCTGTGGCAGCCGTCAGCATTCGAGGGGGTCCCTCCCCCTCCGTGTCCCCCTCGCTCCATCCCGGCCTCCGAGAGCCGCGGGCCGGGTGCTGCAGAGGATGGAGGAGGAGCTCAGTCCCATCAAATTATGGCACTTCAGCTGCCCTGGCCCCAGAGCTGCTTCTGAGGGCTCACCCTGCTCACACAGCCCCTCGGGTCATTCACCCCGACCCCGGAACCTCTCCCAGCTCTGCACTTTGGGGTCTCCTGAGGGCAGAGGGGTCTCAAAGGGCCCGTCAGACAGGATGGAAGTGCAGGCAGTGGAGCTGCCTTGAATTGGGTCTGAACTCCTGTTAAGCCTCATTAATCAGTTGTAAATGCACTGTATTCTCAATAAGGTCAGAAACAATAAATTTAATTTTGATTCTGACTCAAGCTACTTTGGTCCTAATTCTGAGCCTCCTGCCCAGCCAGAGCAGCCAGCCCTGGCTGTGCTGCACAAACTCATTTGATTCTGAAATGCATTTTTAAGCAGGATGGAGTGGTGCTTAAAAGCTAAATGGCTTCCCCCGGCTGTAATCACTGCTCAAGAGTCCTGGAATGAAAGGGATAAAGTCTGGGGGCGGGGGGAGGTTTTAATCTCACTGAGTAGATTACAGAGATTACTGCAATTTAATCCTTACATATCTGTCACTGACGCTGCAAAGCCCATAACCGAGGTGGGCAGGGCTGTGCCAGCCCCCTCCGAGCTCCTGCCCCTCGGAGCAGCCAGGTGACAGCCCTGCTGGTCACAGCCCTGCTGGTCACAGCCCCGCTGCCACCACGCCAGGCCACTGCTGCTCCCCTGGCATGAGGGCAGCAGGCACTGCCCTGGCGCTGCCTTCTGACCACGAGGATGCCAGGCCAGGCTCTCTGTCCCAGCCATGACCACCCGGGCAGGGAGGGCAGCTGCTCCTGGGCTGCTGGCTGAATCTTGTCCGTGGGATTGGGCTGGAAATGCACCAGAACCTGGAGAAAAGGAGGGAAGGGCCCTGGGAGGAGGCAGCGCAGGCAGGGAAGGGGGACCCACAGGTTCCCTGTGTCCTGGTTCCCAGGGCAGGTGGATCCTCACTGTCCCAAAGGGAGACAGAGCCCCCTCCCCGGTGCTGCAGGGCTCCAGGGGCTGTTCTGGGGCTGTCAGCGCCAGGCTCGGTGTGAAGAGCACAGAAAATGCTGCAGTTGCTGGGTTCATGTGCGTGCTGCGGCAGCGGGGACCCTGGAACCATCCCTGCTCTCATCACACACCAGCGCTGCACGGAGCTCTCCCAGGCTCTCCG